TAGCACTCTGATCCCAGAGAGAAACTGCTCCTTGATAGGGACTGTCACAGGCCTTAACTTGTCTTGGGTGAACCCTTCCCTACATCTATGCACCTCCTTTAGTTTTGATCGATGTGTCATGAAACAAATAATGATTCCCTTTTACTTAATAATGGTAACTGGGTTGCCCTGTAGAGCAGCAGTCCCCAACCTTTTTGGCACCACGGACTACTTTCATGGAAGATAATTTTTCCACAAACTGGGGAGGGAGGGGATAGTTTTAGGATGATTCAAGAGTATAACATTTATTGTGCACTTTATTTCTATTATCATTACATTGTAATATATAATGAAATAATTATACAACTCAATGTCTTCTACAGTAGGGTTGGAGATCCCTACTGTAGAAGACATCAGAATATTAGTTACTAATACCCATACCAAAACTCTTCTGCCTGACATTTCCCCTAATTCTTAGTTTTCTTCTTAATACTTTGTTATATTTTTAGTATCGTATTATTATCCCATATCAGATTTAATGTATACTAAAACAATAATCATGTATTGATTAAATTCCTGTCTGGTCAAAGTGAAATAACTAAGTTCCTTTTGTTAGACTTTAACAACTATGATATTCAAAGCAGGAAAAATAGCAGCAGCCACATCTGTTTCCCAGTTAAGAATTAAGATAATTATGAGCAAGAGATGCTAACAAAGACCATAAATAATTCATTCCTAAACTCTGCTTAGAAATCTTTCTTCGTGCCACCCTAGGTAGTATCTCCTACATCTGTACTCCTAGAGTTCCCCGAGTGAGAGCATGTTTCACACTTTTTATAACCACTGGTTTATATGTATTTTGCTGCTTCTTGACTGGGAGTTCCTTGAGAAATGACTATAGGACGGACGAGTACTTCTTATCAAAAATGCTTGGAACCAGAAGTGCTTTGAATTTCAGATTTTGGAACGTTTCCATATACATAATGAGATATTATGGGGAAGGGACCCAAGTTTAGACATAAAATTCATTCATGTTTCAAATATACCTTACATAGCCCAAGTTAATTTTATATGACTTTTTAAATAATTTTGTGCATGCAACAAAGAAGATATAGCACCTCTTATATTTTCCTGGATAGAACTGGAACCCATACTACTAAGTGAATTATCCCAAGAATGGAAAAATAAGCACCATATGTACTCACCAGCAAATTGGTTTCACTGATCAACACCTAAGTGGACATATAGAAATAACATTTGTGGGGCGTTGGGCAGGTGAGGGGAGAGGAGGTGATGGGTATATACACACATAATGAGTGCAATGTGCACCATCTGGGGGATGGACATGCTTGAAGCTCAGACTGGGCGGGGGAAGGAAGGAAGGAAAAAAGCTAAGTTTGGGGGAAATATCATCCCAAAGTGCTTCCCACCAAAAGCACAGAAATTATGTCTCTAGGGAGTAAACAAAACAGGGAGGTAGAAGCTAACACAAACATCACATTACATGAATATGATAGCACTTGTTTTTTCTGTATCTGTTCTTTTAGTTCAGATACAAATCCGTGAAAATGGTTGTTGGTAGCCCCTGTGAAGAGCATAAAGCATTCACATGGGATTTAGATTCTTATATCCTTATCCTTTGTAATAATCAAAAAGGGTGGGAAAAGGGATTTGGAAGAGATCTATGAATATTCCTCCCTTTCCCATTTAGTACTTTCAAATACAGCCATAATTTTGTCTTTTCCCCAATATGAAAACCCAGGTGTTATAGCAGCCTCATCTTTGCTCAATTATGGAAAGAAATAGGAACCATTTTCTTCAATATAGAGACACCTATCACTAAGAGTCAGGGAAGAGCTCAGCCACACAGTTGGCAAACAATACAGTTTCTGACAGGCGTTTGTGAGTTAAAGCAGATACAAGTAGATAAGAGGTACATTTACGAGAACAAAATTGCATGTTGTACTGTTCAAACTGCGGCATATAATCACACTATGACTTATGAACAAACGTTCTTCTCCACTATGCATTTTTCACACTAATCTTTCCTTAACTAGAGCAAAATCAAAAGAAAACACCCCTTATTGGGCGGGTGACACATAATATGTAAATACTGTCTTTTATTTAATCCAAAACCTTGCCAAAGAGTTCTGTATTTTATCTCCTAGGGCTAAAAATAATACAAAAAATCACAAAATGTCTTTAATACTTGCTAAATTCCTTTTTTGTGGGGAAAAAAAGAAAAGTATGAGCAAAAAGGAAGATTTCTTTGCTTCCCACGTAATTTCCATATTCAACTTTTTGTATCAGGCTTTTCTTTTTTAAAACCATGAATACCGTTGTCAAGATAATCTAGCTAAATAGAAATGGATAAAATAGAAAAAAATATTTTTAAAGTAGCATTTAGATTTTTTTGTCAGTTACTTTATGCCTTCTGTGTGTGAAAAACTACTCTTAATATGTAACAGTCAAAAACCATCTCTTAAGTGTCTTATGTAATTATTAATAATTTCACAGAAATAATGACTATAAGTGTGAGCTTTAGTTTGGTCTCCATTTCAGAATATTATCTACTTGTCAGTGTCTAAGTTATTGTTTTTATAACATTTAAACTATGCTTTAGATTACCCACTGGGGCTATGTTATCACATATGCTAGAAATAAACCCATTTGTAGAAAAGAGAGTGGTAATATACAGAACTGAGCAATAAATAATGTTTCAAGGAAAAATGTATTAATATGCTTCAGGAAAAATCTAGCATGAATTCCTCTCCTTTGAAGCAGTAATCGTGATTAAGAGTAACTAACAATAACAATCACAGAGCCTTCAAATTACTAACTGTATGGCCCACCTTATAATAAATGTGTGAACTTGGTAACTGGGAGGGAACAGTCCTCCATGGGCTTCCTTTGAAGACACGCCGATACAAAATATGTGTAAACATAGTAAATAGAAATTGTTTTAAGAGAGATGGTCCCTAAATACTTCTGATGCAAGAGTCTATTTCCTTTCAAATTGTAATTCTTAAAACCCCTGTAGAAAATTTTGTAGAACATGGGGTTCCCCAGAATTTTATGTTCTTATTTAATACCACTACCTAAAGAAGAATTAAAGACAATTGTTTAGAATTTTTTACATTGATGTATCCTTTATTCTTCTAGAGGCAATCTAGTGTAATGATTAAAACCTAGGGCTCTAAGGTCAGAGACCTATGCCTGATCTTATAGATCCTACCTTATAGGGTTGTCATGATTAAATGAGGAAATATATAAAATGTAAAGTCAGCCTGGAGCAAAATATATCCTCAATAAATATTTGCTATAATTATTAAATTGTATATTATTCAAACAATCTATTAATATATGGGGACCTTATAAACAGGAAATGTGGAGGCTAAACAGCACCATAAAAATAGGCCACACTTGACTCATGGAGTCAAGGTGTGAATAAACATCTAAAAAATCAAATTCATTTTCACAACATTATTGAAAATTTCACTTTTGTTTACATTCTAAAATTTGGGTTCAAAATGTCACATATCTCTAGCAACATTTAATGGCAGTGCCAAAACATGAAGGATAACATAGAATGTTATTTTCCCCAAATACTTAGTTACTATGATTTTTGTAGTTTTTGCATTAAAAAAAATCAACCACCAGAATTAAAGTTAAGAATAAACAGGATTTTTTTTTAATTTCAAAAGGAAGGTATATACGGTGGAATTTACCAGCACAAGGTGCCATCAATTACAGTATTCCCCCCTTATCTGTGGGGGTATGTTCCAAGACCCCTGGTGGATGCCTGATATCATGGATAGTACCAAACCCTATATATACTATGCATGAATTTCTTTTTCCTTCTTCTCCATTTCACAGAAAGAAGATTTGTTCTTACTGTAGATCTTAGCAACATCAAAATACACTTTTTTTTTCGTTCAAGTTGAGAACTTTCACTTTTTCACTTATAGGAAGCACTACAGCTTCTCTTTGGCATATCTGAGTTGCCAGCATCACTACTGTTGCACTTTGGGGCCATTATTAAGTAAAATAAGGGTTACTTGAACATAAGCACTGGGGTACCCTGACAGTTGATCTGATAACTGAGACAGTTACTAAGTGACTAAGAGGCACATAGTGTAGACAACGTGGTTATGCCAGACAAAGGCAAGGTTCCTGTCCAGGAGGGCACAAGATTTCATCACACTACTCAGAACAGCGCACAATTTAAAACTTATATATTGTTTATTTCTGGAATTTTCCATTTACTATATTTGGACTCTGGTTGACCCGAGGGTAAGTGAAACCATGGAAAACAAAATGCAAAACCATAGATAAGGGGGGAATGACTGTACATTTCTGAGTGTTGGTGTACATAACTTTTCACATATCTGGACGAGTCACTGTGCTTGCAGAGTGCCCACAGCCAGGTGAAAGCACCCTTGTTTCTGTCTCTCGATTCCTATCTTTCTGCTTAAACTTGTTCAAATGCACATAAATAATGATGACTCCACAAAAAACAAAGTTCTATAAGATGTGGATTGTTTTTAATTGCAATTCTTGAGTGGAAAGCTAAAGGAAACTATGTAAAGAAGAAACTCCAACCAGTCAGATATAATTTCTAAAGAGGCTTCTTTCTCTATCACGTCTTCAGAGCAAAATCATACCATGGCCCATATACTAGGCAATTAAGTATTTACAGGAGACGGTTTCATACATCAGATTTTACTGATGAAAATTACAACTTATTTTTGCTGAGGCAAAAACCTACTTAACTCTGATCAATTCTTAATATAGTGCATCACTATATTAGCAAAACTTCTCTTTTATAAGCGTGAATATGCAACAATATGTAAGCATAAATTAATTCATAAAATAATTAGGATAATGGTTTTAATGGAGCATAGTAGCCATTAAAATGCCTCTCTAGATAGAATTCTATGTATATAAGGAAAATTACATCCAACTCAAGTCCTTTAGTGAATGAGGCAAGGAAGAAATAAATATATGAAACAATTCCCTACCAGAATAAAATGATCCTAACATTTCCTTTTTTCCAGAAGGCTCTTGCAGATTTTCCCCAATCAGGATAGGGCTTGTCCTGAAGCATCATATCAGTGACCTGAAACAATAAAAGAAATTTACTTAACACTTTTAGAACTCTTAAATTCAGGTTTAATATAAACCTACAATTTACATTACATTGAGAACATAATATGTACATACTTTAACATTATAATATATGCAGAGACAAAAATTAGGATATATTTCATGCAATTAAAAACTTTAATGGTTTATTTGGCTTTATGCTGAATGAGCACATTTAAAGTCATTCAACATGTTAAATATTGAGACTGCTTTTTAAAATATCAATTAAGATTACCTTATATAAGTAGGTACCTTTGAATATTAAGATTTTAGCAAATGATTTCCTTCTCTTGTCAGATTGCCCTGGCTAGGACAATACATACACAGCAAATAAAATATATAAACATTTACAGCAAATAAAATACCACATTCTTTTAAGTTTATCTCAATCAAAAATTCCAAAATCCAAATATTTCCTGATGTGTCTAGATGTTTAGCTATATCATTAGTTAACATATTATCTTCTCTTTTTCTCTTCCTTTTTGCTTTCCACTATATATATAGTGTAGTACTTATATCCAGTTTTATGGCATATTTATTCCAATTACCTAGCTTTCTCTCACCTACAATTCTATGCCTCCTTCCAAAAATGTTCTTACTTTTTTATCCACATGCACATCTTCGGAGGCCTAAATAAAGTCATGTTACTATTGCAGTAACTTCACTTTTCTTTCCAACTTGTAGAGAACTTGTGGCTCTTTGTCCATCCTTCTCATGTCATGTGTCACTTTCCACCTTCTATTTTACTTACCTGTGTGCACCTTTTCTCTCTCAACTAAGCTTTAAAATTCTTGAAGATGAAGATTTACCTTAATATCCCTTCTCATGACCATGAATCTTTTACATAATAGACCAAAATATTTGTTCAAAGAAGAAATGGCAAAATTAATTAGGATATAAATGCTTGTTTTTAAAGACCCATTAACAAAGTAAATTGCTCATTAGCTATATCGCATTTAGTGGTTTCAGCTAATGTCCAAAGCTTTATAGACAGGTAATAACAAAGGCATTTACAAAATCTGGTAAAGGTAGGGAATTAATTTCCTTCTCTTCCTAAACAAAGAAAAATGTATTTGTGTAGGTGTGTACATACACGCATAAACACACACACACACACACACACACACACACTTTTTTCCTTTTCCAGAAAATTTACCTTCTCTTAAAGGGAAAAAACTCTATTCCATGAATTATGATTTTAATTAATAATGTTCAAGTCTAAATAAATTATATAGACTCAAAATTAGGAAAACTTCTATGGGCTGTGGTTTATAACATTAAATAAGAAACAGTTTTCATTGCCCATTAAAATGTATTTTTCTCTTGCCCTTAAAGCAAGAGAAGTTGCACTTAGGTGTAACTTCCAACAATGACCTTGAAGTGGGTGAGATTTAATCTTTTACAATGCAAGATTCCTCCCTCAGTGGGGAGTCCTTCTGTCTCAGTGACCCTTTCAATAGTACTGGACTTTCTGTGGAAGGCACATTAATTCTCAAGCAAGTCTATCTTGTGGTGCCACACAGGACACATACAAGAAATGGTCTTCGGAGACATTCACTGGCATGCCAATGCTTCTCATGCTCCTTTAAGTTATGCAATTGGAATGGTGGCTAAGGATCTCAGTCTCCAGGAAAGATATGATCTTAATTCTTGTTTATATCTTGTTTATATTCTTTTTCAATGTCATTTTCTAGGAACAGAGTTCCCAAGATTCTCTTGGTTGAGGAGAACCAAAGTTACTTAATTTCCCTTCATTGATTAACACTGCAGATTAATGTCAGCTCTAAGTTAGGGCCTATGATAATTTTATGTGTCGTGGCTTCACTGTTCAATCTAAAATGATTCAAAAATCATAAATCATTTAAATACAAACCTTAAGTTAATTTCTTTAAACTGTCAATCACTTTACAAATGTGAATGCAAATAAGACTAAGAATTCAAAAAGGAAAAGCACTTGTTTTGCTTATTTTTAAAAGGAAACTAGTGCATTGATGATTTTCTTATCTATTTGTTTTCTTTTTGATCCTTTAAAATTACAGGATTTTATTTCCTCACTCAGACTAATGCCCATGGATTGTATTTTCCATCAAAAATGATTCATGATACTTATCGAAATGAGCAAAGGGAACACAATAGAATAAAAATTAACCATGAATCAAGCGAATTACATTGTGAATAAAGGTGAAAGTAGATAAATTTAAATCCCATATATTCTTGGGCTTAAAAAGAGTTTTATATCATAACTTCCCTGGAGGAAAGAATTGTACTTTTTCTAAATACAACAATTTCAGCCACTATTCCTTCATAACCTTCTTGAATAACAATTCTTGTGTCAAATATTTTAGCAAAACCTCAAGGTTATGTAAATAAATATTTCATGTTTCACCAGATTTTTAAAAGATTTAATTAATTCTCTTCAGCAATATTTATCCTGTTGCAGAAAGGGTCTGCATGGCAATAAATATTTCCAAGGAACAGAATGATTACTGGGTGGGTTTTATTCAATTTTCATTGTTTTCTCCAGGGCACTTTCTGGGAAATACTTATTATATTTTCTAGAAGGAGGCAATCTGCTGCTGTATGACCAATTATTACAGCAGCATGTTTTTTAAAAATGACATTCAAGGATAAAGGATTTTCTCAGGAAAATGGCAAGATGAGGCAAAAAACATTCTTTCTGATGCCAGGCAGCTGATCTCTGTCACCTCCAGCTCCAACTCTTTATTTTAAGTCCTATCATCAGATCAATGTCAGGTCACTTGCAGCTAAATTGGCAGAAGCAGGGACTGTCATTAAAGGGATGCATTCAATAAAGAAAAATCCAATTACCTTCTGCATTAGAGAAAAATTCATTCCTGGTGTTGGTCAAGGACAATCTTTGTGGAAAAAGATGCAGGAAAGAGAGAGACAGAAGACTATGCAAAAAGATTGCCGTGTAGCATAAATACAATCTAAACCTGTTGCTGCTTCTCGCACAGAAAGACATTAAAATTTGAAACTGCAGGTCTTTCTTTCTAAGGTGTGAAAAATTTGCTTAACTCTTTGAGTCTCACAGTTCTTTCCTTCCCCTTTCCTCTCTTCTAGGTCTCTGCACAAAACTCAGACTCTCATTATGTCACTTATCACATCACGCCTTATTGGATAGTCTTTCTCAGTAGAATACAAACTATTCCAGGGAATAGGTGTTGTGCAATCTGAGCAAGAACATACATTTTGAGGTTTAGAAGTGAGTAAATTATTGTAAAAGTCATTTATCTCTACAGGAATCTAAGTGAAATCTTTGCTCCTCTGAGTTGAGCCTATATGATGCTGTAGTAACAATGACAGTATGAACATAGCAGTGATGACAGTCATACTTTACATTTGCCATAGAGCTTCATGGAATGCAAAGCTCTTAGATAAGCTTTTATTATCACTTGTCACAGTAACTTTATAAAATAAGTCATTATTTTCCACCTTTCACCAATAGAGAAAGAGAAGTCGACTAGGTTAAACAACAGAGCAAGGTCACATACCTGATGTACTCTTACGTTCATCAGTTCTGGAACCAGCCTTCCTGGGTCCTAATCCTAGTTTTGTCTCTTACTAGCTTTTGATTTAGGTCAAGGTAATTAACCTCTCTGTGCCTCAGTTTCTTATGAATCATCTATGAGAACACAATGCATATTGACAGGTATTATAGTAATTACTAATGTGTCATTGCTCATATCTGGGTCTTCTATTTAACCATTTTGCTTTATATCAGTAATGCATCACATAACTGGACTTAAAAGGCTTGATAGTCTCATCTCTTCTGTAAAGACAAGACTGTCATCTACTAAACTATTAGAAAATGATAGAGATATAATGTACTGTTAACACACAGTACAGCTCTAAAATTGCTGATAAAAACTAAAAGGAAGGGAGGTCACTGAAAGCTGCAATAATCTAAGAAAGCTTTATAGAAGATATGTGTTACATAACTGAACACTGAATTGCATCTTGTGTCATTCTCTAATTTTGCTAATCTTACCTTCTTAGCCTGATTCTAAGCTATTCACATGCAGATACTGTATATACTATATCTACAGTTGTTTTTGATGTAGTCTTATGCTAAGTATATGACATTAATGTAAAATATTGATTGATTAGGGATATAAGGCCAAAATATAATAACAATAGCTATGACAGCTTTAGGGCAGAGGCCAAGATGGCAGGCTAGAAGCACCCTACACACACTGCTCTCACAGAAAAGATTGAGAGTGGAGAGTGGATATTCACCTTTGGATCAATCATCTAGAAGAGAGCATTGGGAATAAACAGAGAAGCAATGGGAGGCACTCAAAGTGAAAGAGAGGGAAGTGAGGTGACCCACTTGGCAGGATCAGAGGTACTTGGGGAAGGTGCCCATAGGTGGGGAAGGAACACAGGAGAAATCCCTGAAGCTCCACATTTCCCTCACAGACATTGCAATTGAGCTGCGGGAGAGCCCTTCCACCACAATAGGCCTCTGGTCTGATTCAGGGAGCTTACTAGAGACTTTAGAGTGTCACTGCTCCAGAGAGAAGGCACAGTGGGGTCCTGCTGTCTTTCCAGCCCTGGGTGCTGCAACTCTTGCCAATTTAAGGTTCCAGCCCCAGAGTGTTGAATCTACCTGGAGGTCATATCCCCTGCTGCCACCTTATCATCACCTCTGCTGGGCTGAGGAGGGAACAGGGAGGCCAGGTGTTGTGTGTCTCCACTGCAACTGTGGGACCTGGGCAGAGTAGGCACCATGGCCTCAGCACCACTGCTACAACCTGGTGTGCTCTGCCCTACCACAACTGGTGTGGGACCTGGGTGGAGCATGAAACTGTGGCTCATGGCATCTGGGTAGCACTACCAGTGACAGACCTGGGTGGGCAAATGCCCACACCGCCATGTGCCAACCACCCACCATGCACCTGCTGACTGTCATATGACTGCTGCCCACCAGCAGTGGCAACCATAGGGGAA